TCGCATCATCACTGTCGCGCCATCGCATTATCGCTATCGCACCAACGCATCATCGCTATCGTGCCATCGCGTCATCGCTCCATCGTACCATCGCATCATCGTCGTCGCGCTATCGCGCCATCGCATCATCGTCATCGCGCTATCGCGCCATCGCTTCATCGTTATCGCACCATCGCTTCATTGTCATCGCATTATCGCGTCATCGCACCATCGACTCAAATCTCGATGGTACGATGATGCGATAGTGAACTGTGTGGCCCTATCCGGATTCCATACAAAAGAGTATTTTATTATTTTTACGAATTTACAAAGTGTACTGAGTTTGAGAAAAAAAATTAAATTACCAGTGCTACTCGATCGCCGAATTTTTCGAATTTCTCCAACATAAACTGTCCCAGAGGCTTCTGATCTAGCTGAATGTCTTCGATATTGGAAGTGTATACTTTATTTAAAACTGCTGATGAACTAAAACAACTGATGCTGACTGGTTTAAAATGGCACAGTTTCTTTCGACATCCATTGTGTAGAGAACGGTTCGATTTTAGTCTGTTGAGGACAAGCCTCGTCCCTCTTTCAAAATGTTTTATCGTTTTCACCGATGACATCTACAAAAAGATTTAACAGTTTACTTTTAGGTATAAATAAGAATATAATTTACATTCTTTCAAAAAGAACAAATAGTTATCCATTAATCAGAATCTAAAATCGTAAATTTTTATGAAAAATACAAACGTTAAGTCTATTTTCGACTGTGATATCTTGTTTTATACATTACTTGTATGAAGTTCTATTAAATGGGGGTTAGAAGTCTGGAAAATGTCCGAATTTAAAAAAGTATGAAATATTATCATACTTATATACATACAGTGTATAATGCGACCTCATATTTATATCACCAAGCCATATAGAGCCAGAGGAAATATTGACACTTCTGAGTAATTAATTTGTGACAACGACAGTCAATTAAAAAAATTATCAATTAAAATAATTATCAAAACCAAAAATGATTATACCCTTTTAACGACAGGATGTTGTAAAAGATAATTGATCTTAAATAATTTTGTAGAAGTATACAGGGTCTAAAAACTTTGGTAACAACTTTAATTAAAAGTGCAATAAAAAGATTCATAGCCTAAAGATATGTAACACCAACCAAATGATTGGGGTTTTCCATTGAAACTAACATCTAATTTTAATTAGATTGACTTTAATATATGCTTATGAATTCAACAAAGAAATACGGCGCCATACTGCAAAGTTCTCTGAAAAAAAAAAGAAATCTGTGCGCGTGTCCATTAGAGATTTCTAAAATTATTTTATATGATTGAATAATTCCCATCTTTCTGATTGGCTGAGATCCAACTATGTGGAAGAAATACTACATTATATTAACCTGCATTGATCTAAAATAGATCGGGAAATTCCGAATTGATACAAATTGCTTTGGAAAGCTATTGAAACGGCTGTGACTTTTTCCTCGTGAGAACAAAACAAAAGCGAATATATATTTTTTCGGGTGAGGGTGTTTAGAGGGGGTATAGGGACCCCCCTTCAACACTCTTTCTGATCAACAATTTTACTTTTTTCAACTCTCAGTTTTCCCTGATAATACTCCTTTCTTTTAAAATCTATACTTTAAAATGACTGACATTATATCTTTACTTTCATGGCAACTAAAACCATTTCAAATTGATACGACTGGTAATTTACATTTTAATTCTGCTTCTCTCTTGTATTTGGCTAGGACTTAAATAAAATGCAAAGAGGTAATGAGCTGTATCATTTTATCAGTGAATCGTATAATAAAAAATTATTGCGGTTTTTGGTCAATAATTACAATGATTTAGCCATCTTCGAAGTACAATATTCACCTTGCCCCTCGGGCTCGGTGAATATTGTACTCCTCAGATGGCTATATCATTGTATTGGCCGAAAAAAACATCATTAGACGTTTGTAAAATATGCTCTCCCCTCTTTACAACTGCAATGTCAGTTGACCTTGTCAGTCTAATATGACGGACAATGTGCTCTGGACTTCATGATAATCTATTGATAACAGGACATCAGTTTACACGTGTATAGTTTGGATCAAACTTTTAAAAAACCACTTAAATAATACGTTATTTCTCCTTTTTCCCTGAACATAAAATATTTCATTTACCTTATGATTAGCGAATAATATAAGGAGATCCGAGTTGAAAATTTATCCGAGATGCTACGTACATTTGAAAGGCAAGGAAGGGATAAAAACTATGAAGAAAATTTAGGTATCCTCTATATATTACATCATAGACCTAAAGCGCTTTAGGTCTATGATTACATTATGACGTCATAATAAGCATGTATAGCATCCTTCGGCCTTTACCGTCAAAGCGACCAAAAAAAAAAAGACAGAGATGTTCCGATACCAGGCCTACATATAAAATTATGTATAAAACATAATACAGCAGTATAGTGCATTTAATTTTTAGGCTTCAGTTTTATAGATTTTATAGACATAATACAGGAACTGAACATTTGAGCAAACGTTAACACCCCCCCCCCACTTTCACAGACGCGTTACAGTTTAGGTAAAGAAAAAAAGGTAAGTTGGTAGTGTTCGGGAAAAAAAATGGTGCTGCAAGAAGTTCGATCCTACCACCTCCCCCCCTCCCCCCGCATACACACAACGAAATAATATTTTCTTGTTTGGACAATGGTAACCTTCCTTTTTTTTTTGCTTGTCAAGTTTGTAGGTTCAATTTTTTTTCTTTCACTTAGCCCCCCCCCCCTCTGTCAATTTGCTTCCGACGCCAATGCTCTGTTTACTGCATATCCTAAACCTTGGTATGAAATGTTTGATCAACTTCTCTGCCAGCAGCCTGCCTCAAGTGGTTTAGAAAATTAATTGTATTCTGAGCATACTCTGTGCAGCTCTTCAGTATCAAAATATTGGAAGACATAAAATTATAACACTCTGTGCAGATGAAAGTACAATCTTACTACAAAAATAAAGGGAGGTGACGGTGGAGATAATATATTTAAAAAAAAAATGCAACAGGGAAGTGGTGATGATCAGGCAGATTATTGTGCCTGCCTGCATGTCAATTTCTTTAATTTAGAAAGGCACGGCCTCTTATCGTTAATGGAGGGTGACCATTTTTCTTGCAATAATTTCTTTCAAACACACAGAATGACATTGTTTTTTGGAAGAGTATTGACCTTGTTTTTTGAAGAGAAAGAACTTAAGTAATCTTATATTTGATCGACTTCAAGCTGAAACATTAAACTAATTCAACTATGAAGCAAACAATTGGACAAGAGGTCTGCTTTGCACTCTGTCAGAGAGATACACAGAGTGTTCTCCTTCAAGGCCTAGGTCTGAAATGCTCAATCATTACAACCATTCACTACTAGAACCACGGGCACTGGAAGTTAATGTAAATATATAGTATGTGTATACGGTATATATACACATACTATATATTTACATTAACTTCCAGTGCCCGTGACTAGAACATCGTGCACTCTGCATACTTCATTCTAACTCTAGGACCTACAACTTTCACGATATATATACTCTAAATATAGTCATTCTGACCTAGATAAATTTGAAGAATTAAGAAACCGAAAAACAGAAGAATTGTGCAAGTTAAAGAAAATCAATCAAACCTTCGGATCCTTTTTCAATGTACAATTTTCCAGCAAAAGATCAGGAACAGTTCGAAGTATTTTTCTTTTCTCTTCGATCAGCCTGGTATGTTTACAGCTCAGTGTTTACATGTATCGTGGGGCTCCCACGGGAGGACTCGTCTTAGTATGCTAGATTGGACTTTGCACCTGTGTGTGTGGAATGCAGTAGGTAACCCACAGTCGGTCTCGCTTCTCTTAAGAAGGTAAAGAGAAGCGAGACCGACCGTGGGTTTCCTACTATGTAGGTAAATTAAGGGATCAAAACATATCCCCTAACAGAGCTCAGTAGACAAAATTTTAAAATCTTTCGTTGGGGTGGGAACAAGCTGATTCTGATAGGAGGCAATTCTACTAATATAAAGGGGAGTGAGGGGTGGTGGTGGTGGTGGTGGTGGGGGGGGGGGTTACCAAAAATTCCGACAAATACAATAAAAATGTCCTCAGACATTATTATTGAGGGGGCACAATCAAATACATGTATAGTAGCTATGTTTTTTGTAGTATTCTATATAAAGTCCGCGAAGAAGCCACAGAGCGGAACCATGGAAACTGTATCTTGACATGACAATTAAGACAGTATTTCATAGCTTTATTTCTTAATTTAAATTACAATGGCAAAATTATCCCCCCTCCCACTTACTTCGGCGGGGGTGAGGGGAATTGGCCTGTAACTTAGACACCAATTTTCTTTCAAATCTTGATTTTGCACATTTTCGATCGTACAGAAAAAAGGGGACAGACAAATCAAAATACCCTGTCTACAAAGGGCCTGTGTTGATTCGTACTCATGAAGTTCAAATAAATTTAAGAAAACTTTGAGACGGATATTGGAGAGGGTAAATCAATTCGAGCAAAAGAGTCCAGGGGTTTCCAAATCAACTTCCTAAAATAAACTATAACGCAGGTCAAGAGTGAGGCCCTGGGTTTCGGTTACACAGACACTCAGAGCCCACCCTTTCTCCCCCTCTTCAATATGCCAATCCAAAATACAATTTTTACAAAAGCATATAATTTAGGAACTCGGGCATACCATTGCCTTTGACCACTTCTAAAATAAAGACGACTCGTCATAAACTGATAAAAGAGAGTCCAGGATTTTTTATATCTGGGACTGGGTATGGGGTGTCCAGGGAAAATACTGTTTTTTTTTAAATGATTATGGGTAATACATGTAAAGTTAAGATGATGTTGAATGCTTTCAGGCAATGTAAGATATCCATGTTGTATACATGATGTTTGTAGGATATATTTGTAACACACAAAGCTAGTGTATCACTTTAAGATTTTTCTACTATAAATAACAGATATAGATGGAAAAAAAAAACTACTGCAATTAATGTCTTTTTATTTATTTTCTTTTATTGTCGATTTTCAAATAGAATTTGACAATTTTTCAGCTGTAAGAAAAATTCACAACTTTCCTGCTACGACATTGCATAAATCCTCTCTATAAAAAAAGCTAATGTATCTCACGTAAAATAAACACATACATACGAGTATACTCTTCCATAAACAGAAACATTTTAGTGTCTCACAGAAAAGAAATAAGATTAAACAGAACAATGTAAACACAGAAGTAGCTGGTCTATCTCACACGCCACTGTCAACACTGCAGTTTTTGGTCTATAACATGCCCCCCACTGTTAGGTGTACAGAACGTCATAGTGTCCTGGCCTGTACAGTAGGGTTACCACGGGAGTAGAATCCTCCGGGAAGTTATGGTGATTACACTGGTCCCCTTCCCCGCGATCCATGTACTCCACCCTGACCGGCACCCCCAGGGCGGAGGTCAGGGCTATAATCTGTATGTGGTCGCTCTCTTTACCCATAGGTTCCACCTCCTGAAGAATAAAGAACCATTACAGTCTGAACAGAATGAAGTATCCCCCAACATTACCATAAACCATTACAGTCTGAACAGAATGAAGTATCCCCCCAACATTACCATAAACCATTACAGTCTGAACAGAATGAAGTATCCCCCCAACATTACCATAAACCATTACAGTCTGAACAGAATAAAGTATCCCCCCAACATTACCATAAACCATTACAGTCTGAACAGAATGAAGTATCCCCCCAACATTACCATAAACCATTACAGTCTGAACAGAATGAAGTATCCCCCCAACATTACCATAAACCATTACAGTCTGAACAGAATGAAGTATCCCCCCAACATTACCATAAACCATTACAGTCTGAACAGAATAAAGTATCCCCCCAACATTACCATAAACCATTACAGTCTGAACAGAATGAAGTACCCCCCCCAACATTACCATAAACCATTACAGTCTGAACAGAATGAAGTATCCCCCCCAACATTACCATAAAATACTATATATTGTGTAATGGGAGAGGAGAGAAATGCAGCGGACCTGACCGGAGATTCAGGAGGCCCAGCTTCGAATTCCGGTCTGGTCCACTGCATTTTGCTCCTCTCTGGTTACAATTGAAATGTGATTGTATTTGGACTCTTATTTACAGCTTTTAATTTTTTTCAAATACCCGATATGTATAACATATCTATCCATTTCTATGTAAATTCTGATCGATAAACCCATTGACTTGACTCTGCTTTAATACAGTTTTTTTAACTTCCAATCATTTATGCAACATAAACAAGTAAAAAGGGTGAATCATCTCACATATTATCTTATATTACCACTTTGGAGCCCCCGATTAATGATAACTGACATTTATCAGAACAATGACCTCAAATTCTGTGTCAAATACACACCAGGTCAGACATTTTGTGGAATGCTCCGGGTAATGTACTGAGGAGTAAACCATTTTCTGCCCCGAGTATACTATATTTGATAGCTTGTTACGGACTTTGATACCCAACCTTTACTTTCCTAAATACATGTCTACATAAGATAAAGTGGTTTAACTGGGACATTTAAACACGTGTATAACCTATCCATGTCTGCAATAAAATCTTCATTTTGTTGATTATCAGTCTAAGTGATTTCTTAATACGATGACAATATATTTTAATCCCTACCTGATTGCAGAACTCCTTAATTCCTCTTTCTCCTTCAATGAAATTACTGAAAAATTCAGCCTCCTTTTGCAGATGACCATAGAAACAACCAACCTACAAAATTTCACTTTTTTATAGACATAACATTATGAAGTAACCAGACTCATAACTTATAGTATACATATATTATATTTTAAAATAAGTTATTTTTGCAGTTGCAATGGCTTCAGATCTAAAGCTCAGCAATTTAAAGAAATAAACTAGCTGTAGATAGTATAAAAAAAATTATTACAGATCTGGAGCTCATTGGTGTGAACAAATAGATGGTTCAGATCTGTAGCTCACTGGTGTGAACAAATTAGATGATGCAGATCCTGATTCCCATTGGTGTGAACAAATTAGATGGTGGAACATCCTGAGATTTAATCTTAATCCTAACCCTGGTGTGAACGAATTAGATGGTTACAGATCTGTAGCTCACTGGTGTAAACAAATAGATGGTTCAGATCTGTAGCTCATTGGTATGAACAAATAAGATGGTTCAGATCTGTAGCTTATTGGTGTGAACAAATTAAATTGTTCAGATATCTGTAGCTCACTGAAGTAAACAATTAATAATATGCAGTACTCTGTAACATTGTTGTGAACAAATTAGAAGATGCAGATCTGAGATTCACTGTTACCCTAACCATGGTGTGAACAAATTAGATGGTTCAGATCTGAGATTCACTGGGTGAACAAATTAGATGGTTCAGATCTGTAGCTCATTGGTGTGAACAAATTAGATGGTTCAGATCTGTAGCTCATTGGTGTGAACAAATTAGATGGTTCAGATCTGTAGCTCATTGGTGTGAACAAATTAGATGGTGCAGATCTGTAGCTCATTGGTGTGAACAAATGGATTAGATATCTAATTAGCACTGAGATTCATTGGGTGAACAAATGAAGACGTAAGGCTAAATAATCTGTAGCTTATTGGTGTGAACAAATTAGATAGTTCAGGTCTGTACTCACTGGTGTGAACAAATTAGATGGTGCAGATCTGTAGCTCATTTGGTGGGAAACAAATCAGATGATGCACAATCTAGCTCATTGGTGTGAACAATTAGATGATGCAGACGTGAGATTCACAAAACCCTAACCCTGGTGTGAACAAATTAGATGGTTCAGATTTGTAGCTCATTCATGTAAACTAATTAGATAGTTATGATCTGTAGCTCATTGGTGTGAACAAATTAGATGGTGCAGATCTGTAGATGTGTGTGGAATGAAGTATTAAATGAAGCATTTCGATTCATCCTCACAAAAATGTAGGATCAGTTTCCATGATTTGTGGTTGGGTATGCATTAGGCATAGGCTGTCAAGGGGATAAAAACACAGATGTTGGATGAAAATCATCATAGAAGATTCTTTTATCAAGTTTTATACATACCTATCAGTTTTTTTATGCCGATATTTAACACATTTCAACAGAGTTGGCAGGGATATAGTTATACGCTTGTGTGTGAGTTAACATTGCCGTATACAAAGCAGAAATATTATTTGCATTGGGATCAATGTCAAATACTGCCTTGATTAATTACAGATCTACATGCTTTTTTGGGAGTAGATCGACCATATTCCCCTTTGTGTTGCCTTTGCTTTTTTAGAATATAAATCCACTGAATATTACTTCATTACTTTAAGCAAAAATCATTGTGACATCACAAGTGCTATATGAAAAACAATATCCAATGAGAAATACCCTTAGGATAAAGGGGTAAACATCTGACATGTGATAAAGTTGGTTAAGAGAACCACATAACAACACATTATGTATGGACACAGTGTTTACATTAATTTTTTTTAATTTCAATTTAAACTGTTAATTATAGCTTTTCAAGAGTATAATTTTTGTCACAGGAATGGGGACATGTTTTAGAATGTAGTACATCATGCATTAAATGCAAAAACTAAACTTTTTTCTGTTTGAAATATTTTATTGTCAAGATGTATCAACAATATAAAGATCAGACATAAGTTCTTAACACTAACAATGCCCCCGCCCTAGCCCCAAGGCCTCGTGACATTACCTTAACTTAAATCAACACATACTTGGAATGCTAAAGTATCAATGGCTTTGCTGTTCTACAGAAAGTAAATATGCATAAGGTAAAACCTGCTCCCTGCCCTGTCACACCAAGATGTGTCCCCAGGAGATTTTACAGCTATATAAAATTTTTCAAATCACTGTGAAATCGCAGGGAAAATACACAATTTCTCTAAAATTTTCACAATATAAAGACGTCACAGAGTCCTTATAGCAATCAGTGTGTTTCTACAGCTTTTTTGCAGCAAGCTACTGTGTCCCCATGCGAGATAATTGGCATATGACTGCACTTCTGCAGAGTTTACAAGCATGTAGGAGTTGTCATCTCGGTACATGCATATTAAATGTTAAGTATGGAAGTACATGTATTAATAATCAATAATTTTAACATGAACTGTTATAATTTTTAATTTCTGTTTATTAAAAATCATTTAAGGTCAATGAAAGAGGTAATTGTTAAAGGAAGCCGATAACGATATTATTGTGAAATATGAAAGCCTTAAACGATCCACTAAGTTTGCTGAAAAAAATAATTATACAGTATAATTTTTGAACGTTTCATTATCTTTGATGCCCATAAACAGTGAATTAAGAAGCTCCTTTCTTTTTATTTTATTATCATAATATATAAATGTGCATTTTTGCTGAAAAATCTGATGACACTGCAGGATTTACAAGCAGAGAGAAAGTACTTGTGTTTAACCTTAACTGCACATTTTGTTTAAAAAGAAAATGACATAAAAAAATTACTTAGAAAACATTAAAACTGTTAGTATGAGAAAAGTATAAATAGACTTTATTACATGTTCTAGGTAACAATTTGAATAGAATTTTTACGCTAAAAGGTAGTTCTCAAATAAGTGGTAAACTCTCTCACTTTCAACTGAAAAATTTTACTCTTTGTTCCTATGTTGCTAATAGTAAATCCACCTGTCATCCAATATTGATATTACAAAAGGGCTGGGTACCAGCGGAATTTCATATGGCAATTAACTGATATTTGGAATGATAAAGTATCAATGGCTTTGCTGTTCTTCAGATAACCCGTAAATATGCATAAATTATCCCACGTGTCCAACCAAGATGTGTCCCCATGGAGATTTAACAGCATTGTTAAATATTTCAAATCCTGTGGAATCGCAGGGAAAATTTAGATCTTAAAAATTTTCACAATAGAATAAATAGACGTATACAAGTGCCTCCTATGTCAATCAATGTGTTTCTACAGCCCATTGCCATCAAACACAAAGAGAGTCCACAAGACTTGCATGCATATCTGGCCTCCTCAGCATCTGCACAAAGACAGACACACAAGATTTACATGCACGTTAGGCGAAATTTACATGCCAGTAGAATGAACAAGAAATCAAATATTAAATGTTCAAAGAGTTATGGAAAACATGTATCAACTGGGAATAGTTATGTAATCGAAGGTTGAAATTTTGTCTAATTTTGGATAAGAGTGGGTATAGTGCATAAGGTACAACACTATTGTTTTCATTTATACTAACTGGTGCATAAAAACGACATTAATTTTTTTCCACATTGGAACAATCTTAAAGTACATGAAAGCCATAGCCCAGCACTCAAATTCTCTTTAAAAAAGAAGCAGTGCACTTATCTTTTTGCATAGTATGCTTACCCAATAAATTAAGAACACTATGTCTTTTTATTTTATCTATCATAAGTTTTTATAAATGTGCATTTAATTGATCTGAACTATTGGTAACACTTTGAGGATTTCATCAAGTCAGAGAGAAAAGTTGTGAAGCCTCACGTTTGATCTGTTGTCCTAACCTGTCAACATGATTTGACAGGTGAAAAGTTGTTATGAAATTCTTTTATATATACTGTTACAATTAACAAGATGTATTTTAAACAGGGTTTCATTACCTATATTGTCAACCTCTGTTTTAAAATAACTTGTTTTTAGTGAGTAAATCAAATTTTAATTCAATATTTTTTTAACACCCTTGAAAATGAGCCCATTATTATTATTAGATAAATCTCCACAGTTAAACAAGCTGATCTAGATGACATTTAACAATTGAAAGGGGCACAACTCTTTGTCAAGCTAAATCCTTGAAGAGAAAAAAAAGATATATTATAAAAATAAGCATTTGATGAGAGTTTATATCTTTAATGTATAATATACCCCTGGTACATAACCATACCTTAGGAAGACCACCAGATAATCCGACAGTCCCTGGTCATTAAAGGTTTGTAGTAACTCATCTAATGTACACGTCTCCAATTTGTTCACTACATCCATGAACTGAAAGACAATCATAAAGTCTCAATCTTGTAAATGGGGTGAAATGGTTCAACTTTCTTTTACCTGAATTTCAGAATGTTTGATATAAAAACATATACAACTACTAGAACATCAATTTTTCAATCTGACAAGATGTGGATGAAATTTATACCACATCAGCACATGGATATCACACAAGAAAGACCTACTTGATGTGAGTGTATGCAATATCTAAACTGAGCAGACGGTCAACATCCTAGTTTTCAGGATATACTGTACCGATTGACATATTTTAAGGGGAATTCATTTTTTTTTTAAATACTGGATATAAATAAAACAGGTAAAGTACACTAACTCACATTTTCATGAAAGTCATCAATAGTAAATTCTGGAAATCCTAATTGAATTAAACCATCTCTTGTCTTTTGGGCTACTTCTTTAAATCTACAAAAAAGATAAAATGATGTAACATAATGATATTAATATTAGCAAAAATGTAATCAACAATGTGTTCCATTAACACAAATGCCAAAATGAGTTGCCATTTCTAATGAAAAACTGACTCAGACAATGCACTTTTTTCTGCCAGTGACCTTGAACTTGCTTTAATGAATACTGGTCAAGGTCCTAAAACAGTTTAAACTCCGGTGATAATATTTCTCCATTACAAGAAAAGCCAGAATAAGAACTGAACTTTTTAAAAAGAGACTTTGAAATGACTTTGGTTCATAGGCATGACACACTTTGGTTTTTGTTAAAGACAGGTGATACAGACTAACTTTTGTCAACACTTGAGTCATTTTGTTTTGAGTAAAATGAACAAGTTTCACTGCATAGTTTTTAATTTTTCATTCAAAATTTCACAATAATCGAATTTGAAGTGAAAAAAAAAATTGTATAGATTAACAAGGATGGTTGCAAAAAGTTTGAATTTTGAACACATAGAAGGTCCAATTTTTTGCATCATTTGCAAAAGTAGACCCAAAAATATATACCAATCCAGGAATCCATTTCTTTTTTGTTTGCATCATCTGTCCATAATGTTAGTGCAAATGTTAACCTCCAATACTTTTCATAAAAGAGCTATGGAATGTAAAGGAATTATACATTACTCTGAAATTACCCTTGAACAAGTGACCTTTTCAAAATATACCCTCCTAATCTTTTTGTGAAGTATGAAGGTTAATGTTTCTCCATCAGAAAGTTATGGACAAGATACAACTACATTTCTTCTCACCAGAGACCTTGAACTTGCCAAAATGACTTTGCTTAAGGTCCACTTGCTGCAATAATGTAACCCTCTCCGATTTTTTAAATCTGATGTTTTCTGGAGGAGAGGGCTACATTACAGCTAAAGGTCAACAAGTCATGTATCCTCTTTCAACATATTTCCAGAATTAAATATAATCAAATTAATTAAATATATTTAATATAATACATATAAGTAATAACTGATCTTCAGATAGGAATAAAAATACATCGACCTTGGCTTTTAACTTATTGAAAACATGCAAATTCTCCAAATTATCAATTTGAAGTAAATGTGATACATGTATAATTTATTAAAATGGAATTTTTAATTAACATGGAATATTAATCATCAGTGTAATCAATGTATACTTGTAATTATGGCTCGGCCATGTCAAGGCCCGATTGTGACTCCGATTTGGAGTCACTATCGCACTTTGGAGTCTTACATTTATATAAAGAGATTCATTTCAATGTTCTTTCGCTAACAAAGACATCTGGTTCTGAGGCCATAAAACTTAGACAAGCTCACTTTTGATCTCAGTCTCACTTAAACAAATGGAATATATAGGGGGAAAGTGAGACTGAAATCAAAAGTGAGCTCATCTAAGTTCTATATCCCACAGGCCTGAACAATTAAGTGAAAGATAAAAGTTCTCTCACCTGTTATAATCTGATTTGTCTTCCAGTAATGTTTCAAAATATCGGAATCCAAATGCTCGGTAGAAACAGTTACCATCACCTCTTACTTTGCGCACACATGAGAAACGATTTTTTAAATCCTGCAATATACAATATAAGCATATCAATATACTTATTTTGGAGCTATCATTTAACAGCCAAGAATAAGCAGTTTTGCAAGGCAACCAGACACATGAACTGAATTTTCTCCCTTAGATTCCTGCCAATCAAGGCGCAGATTTCAAATTGCTTTT